CATACTCCCGACGCAACGGGCAACTGGCTCAACACTAGAGTGTTGGGCTCTAAAACGCTCAAAGACCAAAGAATTCGAGTTCGGATCCCGGGGTATCTAAGTCTGTGATTGGCTGGCAGCAGCGGTGGTGGCTAATGACCGAAAATTAGCCATGCCAGGCTTCCTCGTCCCAGTCGATAGTCTCTTCTACAAATACACTGTTTAATGACGTTTCCAAGAGGTCCTCTCCCCAGCTTTGTGCACCAAGATATTATTCTGTTTTTAGGCCTCGCTAGGAGGAAAAGTCAACTCCTTTGAACGTAAGCCGTGGTAAGTCCAAGCTATCGTGTAGGAAAGCAGTAAGTAGAGAGAATTTGTACACAGAAATCGTCCGCTCGCGCAACGTTTTTTTAAAGGGACATACGCTGTAAGGTAGGCTGCGATAGAAGTAGCTGGGAGAGCAAAACTAGGGGCAGCATGGGGATTGCTGAACTTGCCTCTGGCGAAGACTAGGCCAGCCTCGTCGAGCTTCATTTCGCATTGCAATGTCCGGACTGTAAAAAGTATAATGTAGATTATGGATCATATGCAATATGGGCTTTACAAAACTGCAAAGTAGTCCGGGTGGTCAGATGCGCAAAGGTAGCTATCTATGCCGTCTAAGACAGTTATTAGCAAGGTCATGTGTACCCCTTTACCTTCGTTAGAATAAAAAAAGGTGGTGAGAAACCAAAATAGGGAGCTAGACGCATTCGCGACAAACAACAGGAAACCGCCAACATTGCACTTGTATTTGTGAGCCAACAGAACAACTAGTCAGTCGGAAGCACCTCCGGTCCACAACATCAACTTTCAACCCCTTTCAACATACCCACACTGTCAGCAAATGGTTCGCGCGTGCATCGGCCTCGTCGGATATCTCCGGACCCAATGCAGCAAGAATCCGACAACTCCAATTGCTAGAAGCGTAAACGGCTCCACCGTGACCTCTTAATTCAACACCCACGGCGCTTACGACGACGACCACTTCCACCGCCAGAACCACACCCCTGGCGCCCCGCCGCCATCGATCATCATTAGCTCTATCATCCTTACCACAATCCCCACGAAGACGAACAACACTGCCATCACGTCTCCCTCTCCCATCACCGGTTATATCCTGCTCCGTCAACCAGTAAATTTTGAAAATCGCTCCCACCACCAGTAATGGGCGATTCGATACCAACAGTTCCTCATAGTGATCACGCATTGACATCACGCGTCGGTCTGGTCGGCCACTTGCAGATGCATCAAACTGTGATCGGCGTGCCACATACGCTCACCACATCAGCCTCCATTGTGCGCACTGCCGACGCACACTCACCCACCGCATGGGGTCATTACGGTCACATGCGCATTCACGTAGGCGGAGCTCACCACCCTAGCCACACGCCAAGCACACCTTGTATATCCAACAACTCTCCAGTTCTAAGAACTCCCCACCTACCAGCGCGGCCACCACTAGCAATATCATTATCGTAAC